ATCGGGGGGCCGGGGCGGGGGCCGCGGGAGAAGCTGCTGGCGCCAGTGGAGAACGGCTGGAGCCCTGTGCCCGGTGCCGTCCGGAGCCGTCCGGGCAGCCCCGTGCTGAAGCGCAGCCAGTCGGAGGTGGCAGTGCAGAACGGGAGCACGGCCTGCGTCCCGCTCAAGGGGCAGGGGCAGGCGGGGGGCGCAGCCTGGACGCCCCCCCGGGCCAGCGCCCCCCAGAGCGCCTGGTCCTGGAAACCCGTCACCACGCGGGAGGTGACGGAGGTGACGGAGGTGACGGAGACCATCGTGACGGAGATCGTGGAGGTGACCGAGTACCCGGCCGGCGAGAAGGGCGGGGAGCCCCTGGTCACCCGGACGGTCACGGTGCTGACGGAGCGTGCAGGGGAGCTCGCGGCCGGCGGCCGCTCCGGACACACGGATGCCGCAGAGGTGACTGCTGGGCAGGGACCCTCGCTGCAGAAGATGCTGTGCTGGCCCCATGCCACGCGCTGGCCCCGGCAGGGCTGCTCTGCTGGCACAGTTGTCTCTGCAAGCGAGTCTTGGCCTTTGTCTCCCCCGGCTGGGGCTCGCGCGGGGCTGTGCGCTCCCACCACCCTCCAGCCCTGCCAGGGTCTGTGCCCCATGCCCCAGCCGGTGCACGGCCTGCGGTGCCCCTGTGCGGGCAGGGCTGGCGGCATCCCCACCCCAGCGCTTCGGGGTGGTGCTGGGCACCCAGCTGGGTGCCGGAGGATGGGGCCGGCCCCCTCCCCTCTGCCGTGGCTGGTGGGGACTCAGCCCTGCCCTGCGGGTGCTGCGTGTCTGGAGGGGGTCTGCACGGCACAGGGTGCACCCGGGGTGTGCAGCCCCTGCTTTGGGGAGCCCCAGGCAGCGCCCAGTCCCTCGGCCCTGAGGAGGAGCGTCGGTCTGTGGAGAGTCCATCCCGGCACAGCCCTGCCAACAGGGCGAGCAGGGGATGCGGGGAGGACCTGGGCAGGGCCGGGTCCCTCCGTCCCCAGCATCGCCACCTGGACAGGGCATGGTGGGGATGGGTGGACCCCAGCCCCATGGCTGCCCCCCGCATGCCTGGGCGGCTCAGCCACCTCTCTCCCCAGGTGTCCCTGCGGGCTGGCCCCGTCCTGGAGGAGGCGGCAGGTGCGGAGCGAGCCCAGGACACGCTGGAGAGCCTGCTGGCCTGGGTGGCGGACATGGAGGAGCTGGTGAGCAACCAGAAGCCACCCTCAGCGGAGGTGAAGGTGGTGAAGGCCCAGCTGGAGGAGCAGAAGGTCAGCAGATCTGGGCTGGCGTGTCCCACCCACGCCGCTCTCCAGCCGGGGATTAGGGGTCTGGGGGGCTGGGGGCAGAGCGGCTGTCCCGGGCCGCCTCCCTGCCGGCGGCGCCGGGCCGTGCTGAGGTGGTGTGGGAGGGAGGGGGGTCCCCAGCACAGCGCCGTGCCCCACTGCCTTGCAGCTCCTGAAGCGGCTGCTGGAGGAGCGAAGGTCGCGGGTGGAACTCATCCTGCAGGACAGACCCGTGCCGCCAGCGCACGGCTCCACCACGGTGGCAACCGAAGGGAGCAGCAGCCTCTCTGGCCTCGCAGAGAAGTGGGGCAAGCTGATGCAGGAGGCTGAAGCCAGGTGGGTCAGGGCTGAGACCTTGGTCCCTGCAGCCTCCCCCGGGCTCTGCCGGCTGGGGACCCGCCGTGGGCTTCGTGCACCGCCTCGT